GGAAGGGAAGTGAAAGGGAAGGAAAGGGAAATGGAAGTGAAAGGGAAGGGAAGGAGAAGGGAAAGGAAGGGAAGGGAAGGGAAGACTGGAATGTGCAACTTGACTCACTGACTTGCTAAAATAGCAAGATTGGCTGAGCCAACAAGAGGAGACACGGAGGGGGCTACTATTCCCTCATTATTTGGCCTCCCCCCAACTCCGGGACCCTCGGCCCCACTTTCTCTGCCCCCCAGAGCGCTGCTTACCGGGCCCATAGGCCTTGGCCTTCTTGGGGTTGACCTGCTTGGAGTGCAAGGGGGCTCCGGGTTTGAGTTTAGCCTTGGGGAACTGCGACAGGTAAGTCATGACCGAGTGCTCGTCCACGTTGGGGTCCACAATCTCCTCGGGGGCAATCACCTGCAAAGAGAAACACAAATCCATTTGGGGGAATTCGGAGGGGGCACCCCAGGTTTTTTTTTCCAGCAAGCACGATACGGTTAGCTGAGAAGCTGAACCTGATGGATTTCCGCCTGCCCCTTGCAAAGCTCCAGGGGGGGGCACTGCCTGCAGACGGGCTCCGGCGGTTCCCCCCTCCCTGCTGGGTGTTTTTTTTTTTAATAAAGTTTTATTGATTATTTTTTTAACAGAATTCAATAGTAATCATTCAACAAAAACGTATTGTCTGAATATCTTCTTTACTGATACAAATTAAATTCCTAATCCCTAAATCTTTTCTTTAACCCAGGGGTCTTCCAACTTGGCCCTTTGCTGACTTGTGGACTTCAACTCCCAGAATTCCTCAGCCAGCCTCCATTTTGTTTCTTAGATTTAAGACAGGGGTCTTCCAACTTGGCCCTTTGATGACTTGTGGACTTCAACTCCCAGAATTCCCCAGCCAGCCTCCATTTTGTTTCTTAGATTTAAGACAGGGGTCTTCCAACTTGGTCCTTTGATGACTTGTGGACTTCAACTCCTAGAATTCCTCAGCCAGCCACGCGTGCCTGGCTGAGGAATTCTGGGAGTTGAAGTCCACAAGTCATCAAAGGGCCAAGTTGGAAGACCCCTGCTCTAACCATTGATAAAATAGATCCCAAGTTTAAAAATATTCTGTTACTTCTTTTTCTTTCATCCTTAAACTAAATCTGTCCATTTCCTGCACAGCCTAGTATTGTTTTTAAATATTTCTTCTTCTGGTGGTGCTTCTTCGTCCCTGCTGATTTTTCCAGGGAGGTTCCCCTTCCCGGTGCCAGGATCTTCTGCCCCCCTGCCCCCCCCGGCTCGCCCCACCCCGATCTTCCAGGGGTACCTGAGGGACCCCCAGCCAGTCGTCGGCTTGCTGCATGGCTTCGCGGGCATTCTCCACCGGCTGCCTGGGGTCCCACGTCTCCCAGTCTGGACACAGGCCTGGAAGGGAAAGCAAAGAGGGGGTCAGAGGGGGCACCAACACCGCCCCCCCCATATCGTCTGGGAAGGGTCCAACTGGGGTCCCTTCTACAAGGATGCAGGATGCAGACCCCGGTTTGAAGTTGGGTGCGTGGGAGAGGACCAATAGGGATTAGGTTCTGGGTTCAAATCCAGATGCAGGCCTGGATATTGGCAGACTGGGGACCGGTCCTTCTCTCTCAACACAGCCTACCCTACAGGGTCGTTGTTCAGGACAAAAGTCCGGAGGCGAGAGGGCTGGAGGAAATGTAGGCCGCACCCTGAGTCGATAAACGGCCGGATGCAAGAGGGAAATTTTGGGTTGGTTCTCCCACCGGTTGATTAAGTGAGCTCCTTCTTTGGCGAAGGATGGCAGGGAAAGGGAAGGGAAAGGAAAAGAGAAGAGGAAGAGGAAGGGAGGGAGGAGAGGAAGGAGGGAGGAGAGAAGAAGGAAGGAAGGAAGGAAGGAAGGAAGGAAGGAAGGAAGGAAGGAAGGAAGGAAGGAAGGAA